GCTATATCGCCCAGCCCTAGTAGAAACTTTAATTTTCTGTAAAGCTGCTTTGCAACGATTTGCATCGTGAAAAGCGCTATACAAATAAACTTGAATTCAATTTAATTACATAACTCATGTTACTTGTTAACCCCAACACTGCCAACGTGACATATGTAATTAAAAAGTAGCATGAACACGCCTCTCTCTCTCTCTCTCTCTCTTTCTCTCTCTCTCTCTCACTTTGCAACTTTTTCATTGTGAAATGCGGAGTGCCTAATGAATTCCTGCTAGGACCTTATTCGAAAGACTGCTGACACTCTGTGAGGTCTTGCTCTGAGAACAGGATACACAGAGAAAGAGAAACAGCTGGCAGAAGATCACACAAGGCTTACGGTACACGCATAACATCTGGCTGAGGATGATCTTCTAGGAAAGCATGTTCCAGATTGTGCTACAACACCCTGAACTGTACAAAAATGGTTTATTCAAGTGCTGAATGCATAATTTATAATGCAAAGATCTGCAGTAATGACACTTATAGTAAGAACGCTGTGCCAAACAAGTAAAAAATAATAATATTTTATTCCTACTTTATGCACAAGCCATAGACTGTATAAAAACATGGACATAGTGTCCGTGACGTCACCCGTAAGTTCCTGAAGAGCGTTTTTGAAGCTCAAAGTGGGCAGAGCCGGCAGTCACCATCTTGGCAGCGCGTCACCGCGCGTCACTCCCGGACAGTGGCGGCTCGTGGGTTTTAAAATAGAGGAGGCACACTAATTGTATTAATCTGGGATCCCTGCCGATAATTATTATTATTATTATTATTATTATTATTATTATTTGCTTAACCACTTTAAAATGGCTTTTTGGCTGCTTTTAGTCAGAAAACGTAAAGACGACGACATATATACACAGCAAGATAATATAATTTCACTTACCTGGCCTATCACTTGAAGCAAACATCCATCCCTTCTTAAAAGTCTGTGTTAAAAGAGAGCTGCCTGTTGTGCCATTTAATTAAGCCGACTGCTGTAGCCTATATCCAGGTTAGGCTGTTTTCCCTAAATTTGCATATATATATATACTGTTTGAATGACAGCTTGGTAAATCTGTTGGCAATCAAATATTCAATATCGCTACTCATCATAAGTACTTGGTACATTATAAGCGCAGCGGCAGACGTTCAAACTAATATCACGTAATTTACGTCTCTATGATGAATGGTTGATATCAGAAGGCAGGCTAGCCTCCTCTACTACACTGTAAAAAAAAAACTTATTTTACGGAATTTTACCGTTTTATTTTACAGTTTTTTCACATATTTTTGAAATACAGTTAAAAATGGTAAAATTACAGAAATAGACTCTAAATTTACAAATCCAGTGTAAAATCACATTTAAAAAATGTCAATGTTCTTTTCTCAACACTCCTCAACGCTGAAAGTGAACACTCGATGCTGATTGGCTATTTTTTTTTTTACCAACGGAGGCACAAGAGCTCATCTCTCCCCCGGCCTCGCCCTACCCTTCTCTATTACCTAGCGGTTGTAATTACATCAGCAGATTATTGGAGCGATTTGACAGCTGAACACGTCAGCTGGTCGCAGCCTATGCCTACGTAGCCTGACTGAACTAACGCTGCGCTCGATTACAACTGTGAAATTACAAACAAAAAATACACATTCTGAGACATGAACTGAAATGAATTGCGAATTTTATTAACATTAAATCGTCCTCCTCCCATTTTCACCTCAAAATTATGGGAAAGCTGTGCCTCCCCTGCCTCCCCCGACGAGCCGCCACTGCTCCCGGATAATCGAAAATGGTTATCAAATTAGCTGGTTGCTGAAACCACGCACACCTAGCTCGATGGTGGTGACAGCAGCGGCAATGCACTTGTCACTCAAGTGGCCACACCCTTAATTATGCAGAACTTTAAGGCTTAATATAATTTAAACGGATGACTTCTAAAAAAAAAAAAATGCACCCCCCTCACAGTTGTCATGAAGGGCAAAGTTAGCTATATAGTAGGGTTGGGTACCGAAACCCGGTACCTATGTAACCGGTATGTACTAGAACCGAATCCGAACGCAGATTTCGGTGCCTCATTTTGGTGCTACTTAAATGCCTGAGCGATCGCTTGAAATATTTGTCCTGGTTCTCCGAAATGGATGTACAACCCTCTACATTGCGAGTAAATCACTCGCATATGTGACTAAATCTTCACTCTGGGCGACTAAATGATGTCT